TTATTTTTATTCCTTTTTCTCCCCAAGGCCCCCCAGTACACAGTTGTATATTCTTCGTTGTGGGTCCTTCTAGTTGTGGCATGTGGGACACTGCTTCAGTGTGGTTTGATGAGCAGGGCCATGTCCACACGCAGGATTCGAACCAACGAAACACTGGGCCGCCAGCAGCTGAGCACGTGGTCTTTACCACTCAGCCACGGGGCCAGCCTCATTAAGTTGTGACATTTTTAATTGAATTATCCCTACATCAGGTAAAGCTATCCCAAAGGGACAGAGAGATACTTATCTGTAGCTTCTAACAGTGAAAAATATCATATGTCTGCTGTCCTTTTCATGAACTGATTCAACATTCAAGCGCCTATGCATGCAAGGCAATGTTCTAGGCTCCAAAAGCATAGGGACCAAGGAAATCAGGTGTCTGCCTGCACAGTCATCATCAGAAGGGATAGATAGGTCACAAAACACCTAAACCAGAACAAGACCATTCTACATGTTAATAAATGACGAGGAGGAGCTGAAACAGGGATGCTATATTGAGAGTGACTGGGGGGTACCCCTTTATCTTGGGTGGTCAGAAGAGGCTTTTCTAAGGGAAGCACAAATGAGTGGAGACCTGAATGATGAGGAACCATCATGCTCTGCTTATCTCCCCACTTTTCCTTCTCTCCTTCTCTTCAATTTACCTCATCCCAAATTCCTATGAAAGAGACCATGGCCTTCCTTTGAAGGAAGTGTCCACTTTTGACTGAAGACTGATGGGTTCACATTGTAGAACATGGTCACGACAGGAACTTGCTTAGATGAAAGGACAGTTAAGGGGATCATTGTGGTTGGACAGACAACCTAATTGTTGTTTGAAAGACGACTGACTGCGTCCTCCTACCCACAACCAGGTATCTGATAATTTGAAAGGAAGGAAAGAGAAAAAGATGAGAGCGGAAGGAGGTGGATGTGTGAGAGATATGAGTTTCTGCTTAAAAAAAGAGGGAGTGGAATTCAGGTCACCCCAAGACTTGTACATCAAGCTCCTGGTTTAAAACTCATGATGAATTTAGTATCTAGATGCACATTATGTAATTTAGAGTTAAACTGCAATTTCAAGGAAACATTTTCCCCAGTGATTCTAACTCTATCTTCCTACTGATGCACCACTGCACAAAATGACACCATTCAATTGTTGCTCTTTTGTTGACGTATTGGTTTAATATACTTTCTTTTATTATTTAGACATTGAAATGTATGCCTTTCTATGTGTATGTCCAGAGAGTGAGGGTGGTTAAACGTTGTTAAACAATTTAACCATTGTGTCCCCCACACCTGTGTATTCCATTTAATACCAAGACCTACAGAGTAATAATGGTGTTTTATGTTCCGTAATTTTAAAATGGATCTGTATTGTCCTTCCTTATATTATCTCTCCTAAATGTGAAATACCTCGTATGTCCTCATTTTTTAACTTCAGAGGAATCTTTGACATTACCAAAGAGGAATCAACAAGAACTTTTCAATGCTGACAAGAAGAGAAATAATGTCTGTAAAATTTCTAGTACTTTTCTCATAAGAACCTGAAAAATCAGTGAACCAGTCAGGATCTCAATCAATTAACAAGTTAAGAAGATTCCTGAACAGGGTTTTCTTCTTAACATTCACTCATTTACTAAATTTAGCAAATATTTGAGTGTACAATGACAGTTTACGTGTAAGAAAAGGGAACGCCAAACATTGTGCAGGGTGCTGAGAATGGGGTAGAGGAATTCTCAGTGTGTGCAAAGAGTATTTTCAGACCTCTTGGCTGCTAAACTATTAGTAACAATAGGAGAATCAACACAATTTTGTGAATGATAATGTCCTATAACATTTAATGAACATATGTTACTTGCCAAGCATTGTGCTTAAGTACTTTATATACGTTTTCACATTTGAACCTCACCACAACCCCTAAGCAACTACTCTTGTCCCCACTGTAGAGATGGACAGCTCTAGAAGAAAACTGCTGTATTCGTTACCACCCTACTTGGTCTAGCAGACGCGCTCTTGATATAGCCTCACTGAGGATCGCAGCCTCTGGGCTGAAAACTGCCAGAAGTTACTGATTGATAATGGGATTAGATACCACTTCCCATGAATCTGAAATCTGCAGCAGATACTCCAGCCTATGCAATATGCCAATTCTCCATTACCAAACATGAGAAAACTTAATGTTGCCTTCAAAGAAAGAGGTTAGTTATTGCCAATTATGCAACAATTGGTGAGCTTAGCAGCTACTTTCTTTTTTCAGAAATGAGTTCAGTAATAGAACCCTTCCACTGTGAAAGGAAAATTACCACTTTTCCAATTTTTAAAAAATTTTCTTGAAAAAAGGCTTTTAAGCCAGTCAAAATACTATTTTGTAGTTTTGTTGCCATTTTTCACATTGTCTCTGAAACCACAGTCTCTAACGAGATGAAGGGTCAGATATTGTCTATTTATTATTATAACTAATCTTAACAAGTGTTAGTTACGTCTAATCATATTCTCATGACTGGGTCCCACTTCCAAAGATTCTGATTTCGTTAGTCTGGGGTGTAGCCTGAGCATTGGAAGTTTTCTTTTTAATTGAGGTCATAATAGTTTACAACATTGTGAAATTTCAGTTGTACATTATTATTTGTCAGTCACCATATAAATGTGCTCCTTCACCCTTTGTGCCCAGCCCCGTCCGTGCCTTTCCCCCTGGGATCCCTGAACTGTTCTCTTTGTCTGTGTGTGTGTTTATCTTCCACATATGAGTAAAATCATAAAGTGTTTGTCTTTCTCTTTCTGGCTTATTCCACTTAACATGATACCCACAAGGTCCATCCATGTTGTTGTGAATGAGATGATCGTGTCTTCTTTTATGGTTGGATAGCATTCCACTGCATATACGTACCACATCTTCTTTATCCAGTCATCAGTCAGGGGGCACGTGGGTTGCTTCCATGTTTTGGCTATTGTGAATAAGCATTGGAATTTTTTTAAGGTTCCCCAGCAAGCTCTGAGATTTTAGACTTAGCTTTTCAGATTGAGAACCACTGCCTTACGAAATCTTTTTGAGAAGAAATAAAGACAGTGCATCATAGAGGATCGCTTGCCTCCGTTCTCTTACTTGTAAAATGAGGCCCTTTTAAAGAATATTTTTTTCAAATATCATTTAAGGAGCAAATTCCTTTGTATGGAAAAAAAAAAAAAAAAACCCTGAGGAGTAAAAGTTAACCAGAAGCTCCCCTTTATAAAGCTGCTAAGATTGTGGCTGCTCTAAGCCTCAGGTTGAAGGGGAGGGTGAGGCAGCAGTTGGAAGCGGAAGGGGGATTACCTCCGCCTCAAACCGTTCTACTCACTTCCTTTCCCCACCTTCAGCCTGAACCAAATTTAAGGCAACCTTTTCACTTCTGGCACACGCGAGAACTGGTAATATTTGTATAGCTCACTGAGGCCATAAATGGACAAGCTGCTCGCAGGACAGGTTGAAAGTTAACAGCTTGAGGCTTTCAGTTGCCACTCCAGGGCTGAGGGGGCGAGCGGGGGGAGGTGATGATTTGGGCACAACTGAGGCCAGTTTATGGCACCCTAGTTGGAAATCAGCTCTGCCTTAAGACACAGAGAAGGACTCCTATGAGCACAGTTTGAAAACCACTAGGTGATCCCTCTAACCACTTCAGGGCCTGAGAATGTGTGGTTCAGCAAATAGCAAATGCACATTGATTGATTGATTCATGCAATAAATCCATTTTGATGATCTACAGTGAAAGGTACCATTGTAGGTGCTAGAGATACGTTGATGAACAAAACAAACCTGGACGTTACTCTCAAGGAATTTTCAGTCTAATGGAGGAGGCATGACAGAAAATAAGGAACACAGATAAAACGCTACAAATTATGGTAATGTTAAGGAAGCAGTGTAAGAGAATAACCATATGAGGCCTACTTCAGTCAGAGATAGTCACTTTGTGAAGGGGACATTTATGCCAAGGTTGAAAGATTGGGAAGAACCAGACATATCAATGTGAATATGAGGTTGGTGTTGGGAGAATATGAATTTTAGGAGAGGGAGCAGCATTTGCAAAGACCCTGAGGTGGAAAAGACCTTGCTGAGTTCAACAAAGCTAAAGTCAGCCAATGTGGCTGGAGCTTGATGAGCAAGTGGGAGAGTAGCATGAGACAAGGGGAAAAGTACCCGGGGGCCAGAGCATACTGGGCCTTCAAGGTCACAATGAGAAATTGTAACTCTGTCCTAGGAGCACGGGAAGTCATTGGAGGATAGAGACATGATATGATGTAACTTTAAAGGCGATCACTTTGTAGCATGACAAAAAATTGAAAGGGAACAAGAATGAAAACAGGGAGTCCACTTGGATGGTTATTGCAGGAGCCCAAGGGGGAGAACTGTGGCTTGGTCCAGGGTTCTGACCTGGATGGAGAGAGGGGGCTGGATTTCAAATTCGCTTAAAAGTAGAATCCAAAATACTTACCTGCAGGTAAGTATCATCTGGTCCCGTTACTGAGCCACTGAGTGCTATGGAGAACTTGATGAGTCTGGATTTTAATTTCCTGATCTCTCTGGAACATCAGTATACAATCTATTCTGATTACACAGGATTCTTGTGAAGAAAAAATAGAATCATCCCTAGGACGCTGTCGGGGAAGTGGGAGAATCCACCCCACCCACGCCTTTTCCTTGAGGTTCTCATGGCTGGTCAAATAATTAAAAAGGCAGGTTAGCAGGAGAAAATCAAACAAAGTTTAATAGCATGCATATATGGGAGAAGTTCAGGAGAAACTGAGTAACTCAGCCAACTGGCTGAGGCTGCCTGTTTGAGGATCTTCAGCTACAGACAAGGAGGACATTTGGGGTCCTGATTTGGGGCTTCAAAGGGGAGGAAGGCAACCCACATGGAAACGGAAAAGCACATGTTTGGTAAATAGAACTTTGATAAGAGTGGGCTTAGCAAGGATCCTTCCAGTCTACTGGATACCCAGAGTTATCTATGGTGATGGCCTGTCCTGGGGACAGGCTTTTATTTTAAATTTCTTTGGGGCAGTTATGGAGGAAAGGTTGAATGTTCTTGCTGAGTCTGAGCCTTTATTGTCTTCAGCTCGAAATAATCCACATACCAGAGTGGCGAATCTTGGGGCGGCCTGCCCTGAACCCCATCAATTCCCTCTTCTGAAACTTCCCTGGAAGTTCCACATATAAAAAGCTGAGCTGGTGGCTGTGGAGAGAAAAGTTGAGTTAGTAGCCGAGGGGTGAGAAATCTACAAAGAAAGAAAAGAACATAGGTTAGAAAGAGGATAAACAAGCAGAAAAGAACAATGTGAAACATTGTGAACAATGTGAAAAATGTAGCACATTTCCCCACACTCCGTTAAACCAGTTCCCCAATCCTGGAAATAAATCAGTCCAATAAAATGTGTGAGCTTCACTTATCTGATGGAAAATGTCAGTCTTCTCTTTTAACAGATGTAAGTTAGATACTACTTGCCCAGTTTGATTCATGTAAAAGCAACATTTTTCACCAATGATTGCACAGGCTCCTCCTTGCTGGGCAGTCAGTGTATCCAGAGCATGTCGATTTTAGAGTACCAGAGAGGCTAGGCTGTTCATCTCTGACTGGAGTATTTTCAAAGTTTGCATGGTGGTGTTGAACTCTTGTTCCATTACCATGGAGAGATTTAAGATCACCTTTTCCAACTTGTAATCTCCAAAACTGGGGAATAAGACTCTCAGTGCTGAAAAGAACTTGGAGTTCTGACACACAAGGAAATTCACAATTTCCCTACTGGCGTGTTTATGTGGCACAATCTTAAGAACAAAGGAACCCAGGTTTGCAATTTGGCTGGCGTTTAGGGTGGAGCATTTAGTGGCAGAAAGGGCCAGGTATCCGAGTCCACAGTGCCCTGACCAATTAGGTGGGGAACCTTTATATACTTTGTTGCCACATAAAATAAAAAGACTAGTGCGGTTTATAGACAAAGTTAGAACTGAATCTAGGTTTCCCATGGTCTGAAGAATTCCATGACCTATGCCACTAGTACTGTCAGTGCCTAAACATCTCCATTTTCCATGTGCTCCTGTCAATCTGTGAGAAAAGAACAGATTGCGGAATAGCTGGTACAGGAGGCCTGCAGTCTGATTTCGGCAGCTATAAAGCCTGGTCTGGTCACCTGACCAACTGAGTCTAGACTTTTGATCCAGCCATATATAGTTTGTGGCACTGGGCAGCTTAACCACACAGGCAGCTGCAGTACTCCAAGTTGTACATGGGTGGCTTGTAAGCCATCCAGAGTATTTGGTGAATTGGCAGATGTTTGTGCCAAGGGGAGTAGTGTAAAAGTCACTTATAACTCCCTTTAGAGGTTTGAAGATGCCACCTGTGGAATCGAACCACAGAGTTTGATTACACTATTGTCCTGGTATGTCACCCAGGAAAGGTCCAGTGTCCTGTTTACTCTCAATGCAGAGGGGAAAACTCACTTATTGTCTTTACCTGGGCAGGGGACAGTCCTGGAGCTGCTAGAGAGTCTTTCTGGGGCCAAATGACTCACCAGGAGAAGAGGCAGAGTGAAGTTTTCCTTGTCAGGAAACCATGCGATGTTGTTCATCCATCTCCACCAGGTGTTCACTTCGGCAGGAAGAAAGACTAGCTCAGGTTCTTTTGCACTATCTAGCTGTTGATATAACCAGCAGTTAGACTGATTAGTTAGCATGGCCAAGACTTGGTAAACCAGCATAAAGGGGTGTTTGGTCTGTGCTCAACCTGTTGAAAAAGAGAGGGTTAGTAAAAGCAAGACACAGGTTGGAAAAGAGCCGATAGTGGAGACTTAGAGAGGGGAAGTAGGGTGGATAGAGACTGGCACCTCCAGTCAGCTTTCTAATAAATGATTAAAGGAATATATATATATGCTAATAGGTGTGTGTGTGTGTGTGTGTGTGTGTGTCTAGGGAACTTTTAGATGCAAAGGGGAGGAAATAGGTGAAAGCAAGTTTTCTTGATCCGTGATATTGGAAAAGCTGTCTACTTTGTGATGTCAGCTGCTTCTGGGGCCTGAGAATTGGCCCTGGAAATCCTTAATTTAAGGTTGCCTGTGGTGACTGTCTCCCAGTTGTCTTGAGAGCGATGTCCTGGGTCTATTTTGTCGCGGCTTGCATGGATCCAGGAAGATTTTTCCTTCATTTTGATGGCAGTGTAGGTGGTCAGTAGGACTTCATAAGGTCCTTGCAAGCAAGGTGACAGTACATTTTTTCTTTTAAAGACCTTGATGTAGATCCAATCTCCTGGTGGAAAGGGATGGCGAGGCTTGTCAGAAGATGGGGCCACGCCTCTTTTACCTGTTGACGATATGCTTCAAATATGCTAGTTAATTTCTGTGTATAGCTAGTCACAGCATCAAATTGTTCCCTTAAATTCCCATAATATTCACTTAATCCAGGAATCAAAGGTTTAGAGATCAATAGGCATTGGGCGTCCAAAAACTATTTCAAAAGGAGTCAATCCATGTCTCCTATTTGGAGTGTTTCAAATCTTTATAAGGGTGAAGGGCAGAGCTTCTGGCCGTTTAAGTTCAGTTTCTTGACAGACCTTTCCTAAAGTCCTTTTTACATCTAGATTTTTACGTTCCATTTGTCCTGATGACTGGGGGTTATACGGGGTATGAAATTTTAATGAGTACCCCAGAGTTTCTGAAGCAAGTGGTTTATCTCTGCTGTAAAATCACTTCCTTGGTCTGATTCAATCCGTAAAGGATGTCAAAATAAGGAATAACTTCAGTTATTAACTTCTTTACCACTGCTGTGGCATGTGTATGTCTAATCGGCTAGCATTCGTCCATCCACTAAACATGCAGATGGTAACCAAACAGTGAGAGTAGCCTAAAGCTGGGGGCTGGGGGCAAGGCTAGAAAGTCCATTTGGAGTGCTGCAAAGGGCACTGTGGGCCTGGGAGGGCTTCCTGGGGTATGCTGGTTTTGCCCAGAAACTTGGTAAGATTTTGAACTAGTGTACTGGGAAATAATTTGGTCAGAAATTTTATGGATGCCAGGGCAAAACCAATTGTCTTTTAGCTTAACTACTCCCCGTTTGCACATATGTCCCATTTGGTGGGAAATAAGTGCAAGCCAAAAAGTCAAAAGAAAAGGAGCTACAGGAAGTCCATTTGGCCCAATATATAATCCATCTGATAATTGTTCAGCATCCTTTTGTATCCAATTGTCTTTTTCAGATTGTGGGGCATTTGCCTGATAGTTAATGATATCAGTTAGGGATAAAGGCAGGTTTAAAAGTTGGGTGGGAAAAGGATAAGGGGGTCCATTGTTAGCTGCATGTTTAACAGCTCTGTCAGCGCTGTCATTTCCTAAAGATATGAAATCGGTCTCCTTAGTATGGGCTGAGTGATGAACAATGGCAATTTTAGAAGGGAAGTGAATAGCTTGTAATAAGGCTGCTATTAAACATCCATTAGCAATGGGAGTTCCTGAAGAAGTTACGAATCCATGGGATTTCCAAATTGGGCCAAAAGCATGGCAGACTCCAAAAGCATATCTGGAGTCTGTAAATAGTGGCAGTTTTCCCTTTTGCTAATGTGCAAGCTATAGTAAGAGCTATAAGTTCAGCAACTTGGGCTGATTTTACAGTGGGCAGAGAATAAACTTAAAGCATTTCATATGGGGAAACTATGGCATAACCAGTTATTATGTTTCCCTGGAAATTTCACTTACAGGAGCCATCACAAAACAGAAGTAAGTCTGGATTGTCTAAAGGGATGTCCAAGAGATACTCATGGCTTTGAGACCGTTTCTATAGTTGCCAGGCAATCACGTGGAATGGAGTGGGGCTCTCTATCATCAGGGAGGGGCAGTAAAGTAGCTGGATTTAAAGTGTTACAATGATGTAAGACGATGGAAAGGTTGGTTAAAAGAGCCTGCTCATAGATGGTCTGTCACCATGTAGAGAGGTGTTGGGTCCTCAGTACTTGTAAAATAGCAGACACAGCATGGGGAACATAGAGCTGAATGGGAGAGCCTAATGTTAAAGTACTGGCTTTGTCAATCAAGGTGGCAGCTGTGGCCACCGCACATAAGCATCGGGTCATACATGATGCCACAGGGCCTAGTTGGCATGCGAAATATCCTATAGGACATATTTGAGAGGCAAAAGATTGTTCTAGACTGCCTGCACCAGTTCCATTATTTTCATGACAGTATAGATGAAAAGGTTTGTCAAAATTAGGTAAGCCAAGAGCCGGAGGCTTGCACAAAGCTAATTTTAAAGCTTCAAAAGAGGTTAATGCCTCTGAAGTCCAGGAAATAGGCTCTGGAGTGATATCTGGGAGAAGAGCATATAGGAGTTTAGCAAGGGCTGCAAAATTAGGACTCCATTGGAGGCAGTAACCACCTGCCCCAGGAATTTACATAACTGTTTTTTCATTTTGGGAAGAGGGATGGACAAAATTGACTCAAGGCACTTGGGGGTTAGCTTTTGAAGGCCTTGAGATATCTCATGCCCTAAGGAGGTAACAGCTGTTTGCACCCACTAAAGTTTAGATCTGGAGGCTTTATGGTCTCGTTCAGCGAGTGCCTTCAGGAGAATGAGGGGTCTGTAAGGGCTCCCTGCTCGGTTTGATTACAAAGTAGAAGGTCACCCACATGTTGAACAAGAGTGGAGCCTTGAGTAAAGGCCACAGAATGCAAGTCAGCTTTAAGGACTTGGGAAAATATTGAGGGGGACTCACAATATCCCTGAGGTATGCGAGTCCATGTTAATGGTCTCCCTTTAAATGTCAATGCAAAAAGAAGCTGTGAGTCAGTGTGCAATGGGATTGAGAAGAAAGCAGAGCAAAGGTCAGTGACTGTAAACCAGGCTGTATCGGCAGGTATTGAGGTCAAGGATGACAGCCGGATTTGGGACCACAGGACGCCCATGAATTACAAAAGTGTTTATGGCTCTGAGGTCTTGTACAAATCTATAGATCTGGTTCCCATCTGAGTAAAGTGTGTCTTCTTTTTTTACTGACAAGATTGGAGTGTTACAGGGTGAGGAAGTAAGAACTAGTACACCCTGTTGCAAAAGGGAGTCTATTATGGCTTCAATTCCTCGCTCTGCATCTCCAGAGAGCGGGTATTAGGCTACTGATGGAAATGTTTATTCTTTTTCCAAGTAACGTGCACGGGTTCTGCACTAAGCAACAATCCTACCTCATTTGAATGTGTGGCCTAGAGACTAATTTGAACATCTTTTAGAGACTCATCTTTTTCAGAAGAATTTAAATCAGGATAAGTTTCTAGCAAGGAAAGTAGGAGACTTGGGGTTTGGTCAGAGGGCAAGAAGATAAAAACACTTTTTAAATTGCAATTTATAGTAGCGTTAAATTTACATAACAAATCTTTGCCAAAGAGGTTTGCTGGTGAACAGTCAGAGACCAGAACAGCATGACGAGCCGTAAGGGAGCCTAAAGATACTGGAGTGGGCTGAGATATGGACAGTGAAATAGGCTGCCCAGAGACTCCAACAGCTTGAATAGACTCAGAGGTGACAAGTAGAAATAAATCCTTCGAACGGATTGTAGAGAAAGTCACACCAGTATCAACTAAAAAATCCAGTTCCCGATCCTCTATTTCAAGGTTAACGGTGGCTCAGGGATGCGACTGAGGATGAGCTGACCCCATCATTTTAGGGAGAAATGCCCCTCAGGAGGAGAAAAATGAGACTTTTTCATCTGGGGGTTCTGGGGCCAAGCAAGGATATTTTTTAAATTTTCCCTTCACTTAAGAGCAAGATATTCTCTTTCCTAATGCCCTGGTTTCTTGCAATACCTGCAATTGTCTGAGGCCAATAGGGAGGCCTCTGAGCGGGCTTTAGTTTACTTTCAGAGTTGCCTTTTTTCTTCTCAAAAGATTCAACCTGTAAAGCGAGACGAGTTGTCTTTAATTCTCTTTTACTTTTGCTTTCCTGCTGACTATTTTCAAAGAATTGTGTAGCAGCCTCCATTATTACGCTTAATGGTTGCCCTGACCAACCAACCACACTATTTTGAATGTTTTTTTATATCAGGAAGAAAGTTTCCTACTAAAGCAGAAATTTTAGGAGAGTCCTACGTCTGGGGCTTCAGGGTTTAATGCAGTGTGCTTTGAAAAGTGTGTATAAATGTTCAACAAAGGCTTTTGGACATCCCCCTTCATTCTGAGCACGTAATTCAATTTTTGGCCAATTAACTTTGGGAGGAAACGCCTCTAAAATCGCTCCTACTAAACCTTGAGTATCAGCCTCTAGTTGTGCCACTTCCTGTTCATTTGCAGGAGGGCCTGGGAGAAGGTCTGGCCATTTATTTCCCCTGTGAGGGGGGTTTTCTCCCGGGGGGGGGGTCATCTGGCCTGTCTGATAACTACAGTGTAACCATAGTCTGGAAGAACGCCCCTTAGCAGCCAGTCAAGATCTCTGTGGGTGGGGTTATGAATAGCCACTAATCTTTCTAATTCCTCTCTAGACCTAGTAGGATCTTCTGACAATGGAGGCAGGAGAGTTTTATAATTCAATAGATCAGCTGCTGTCCAGGGGACATGCATTCTCTGCGGCGGTGGTCCAGGATACATCTGCAATGGACACTGCATAGAAACCCCCAAAGCTGGCAAAGCCTGATTACAGAGCCCTGGAAAGTAAGAGTTGTAAGGGACAGCAAAGCGAACCTTTCTGCTTTTTCTGGCCACTTCTACTAAATTCACTTCCTGGCTTTCAGCATTTACACAAGTAACCTATATGCATCTCACTTGGAGTTCAGGCCTGCATGCCCTCTGTAAGTCTTCTTCTCGAGAGAGAAGTTAAAACAGGCAATTAAATGCCCTTTGGAGAAGCTGGCATTCTAGGATCTAAGGGAACTGGCTGAGGAGCTGGCTGAGGAGCTAAGGCCTGAGGGGGTCGGTTTGAACCAGGGGCCCAGAGATCCAACACATCTTCTGGGGAATCAGGGACAGGGAGCTGGTGATATAGGGGAGCATGGGAGGGAGGAGAAGGCGAATTTTCATTGAATTTGCTTTTTAATCATTGCTCTAAGTCTGACTTCTGTCAATTTATTAAGAGATTCCTTAAGGCTAGCCATTATATTTTTTGGGGCTTTCTTTTCAATTCGATCTTCCCATAAATACCAATAAGGCAGCTGCTTGTTAAGAGAGCTCTCTAAAATACTTTTCAAATATAGAAGTTTTTCCAATTCAAAAGATCTGTCATCTGGCCATTGACAAGTAAGATCTCCATTTGCATGTTTATTCCAACAGTAACTCAACCCAATAAGGCTTTTTAAGGAAAGACCCGGAGGTAACTTTCCAGGCTCAGAATAAATCTTTACCATGGACACAAGAGGCGTCCTCGGAGAGGGCGCAGATGATGTAGCCCCATGATCCAAGAGTTCACTCCCAGAGCTAGTCAGAGAAAGGAAAGACCTTCGTTGCACAGGCGCTAAGGATGGTGTAGTGAAAACGGTGTCTCCGGTCTCCCACGAGAGCGTGGGAGACCTCCAGTCACAGACCCACTAATCTGTGACACTGGGCAGGCGCTACTGGAAGGGGATTTTTCTAGCATTATCAAGCAACGAAGGTTGAGACAACAAAGGCCCTTATGAACTGGGCCCTTTATGACAAACTCCCCTGAGAGCTTGGCAAAGCCAAACAAAGAGAGAGCTTGGAACCCCAGTCTATTTGACTGGCCACCCAGTAAATGCACCTTCCGTATGGTAGAGATTAAGGAAAATATTCTCACTGGTCAAGAAGGCAAATTCTCAGGACACAGAACAAGAGGGAAGGAAAAACCTCATCTGTTTTTTTTCTTATATGCACAATGACAGCTTTAGCTAAGCTTTGGGTCTCTTGGAGCCAGAATAATAAATGACAGCTTTAGCTAAGCTTTGGGTCTCTTGGAGCCAGAATAATAACTAGGAGGGAGGTGCTGTGGGGTTGGGGATCATGTGTGTTTTACAGAGTACCTTGTCATTGCATGGACATTTTCTTGAAGTTGGTTGGGGACCTGTGTCATCTACCCCATTCCATGACTAATTTGTCCTTCCACGGGAGACTTCTTGAGGTAGTGAGCATCCTAACGGCTCTCAACTGCATGACCTGCGCCCACCACATTTGCAGCCTATTTGGCTTCCAAGATGCTCTTAGCAATAGCTGTCACTTCATGTGCGCATTAACCCACAGCAAAGTTTATCTAAATAAATGCCAGTCTGGTGAGACCACAAACTCACCAGCCTGTGGGGCCGGCAGGAAAAGAGGCTTATAAGGTATATGCCTACATCCCACCCTATGGTATTTCCTTCTTATGACACACGACACAAAAGACAGAAACAAAAGAAAAATCACAGTAGCTATCTCTAGGAGAAAAAGGATCAATAAAGCCAAGAGTACTCTAACAAATTTACGAGAGTCACACAAGAAACTAGTTTCCTAAATATTTTCTCCTGCTAATCTAAATTTAGAAAGAAAAACAATTCCCACCACTTGCTTCCACTGGACCCTGCAGACAGACATTCCGGCGGGCTGACATGGTGAGAAATCTTACCTTTTGCCAGCGTTCATCAGGAGACCCGGGATCTCCTCATCTGCAGTGGCCCCAGGGAAGAAGCAGTTGTTCCAGCCAGAGAAGGCAACTTGCTAGCCTGTGGGGATCTTGCTGGTGACAGCAAAACTGTCAGGGAAGTGGGAGAATTCGCCTCCACTTTTCCTTAAGGTTCTTATGGCTGGTCAAATAATTAAAGAGGCAGGTTAGCAGGAGAAAATCAAACAAAGTTTAATAGCACATATACTCAGTTTCAGGAGAAACTGAGTAACTCAGCCAACTGGCTGAGGCTGCCTGTTAGGGATCTTCAACTACAGACAAGGAGGACATTTGGGGTAGTGATTTGGGGTTCAAAGGGGAGGAAGGCAACTCATATGGAAATGGAAAAGCAAATGTTTGGTAAATAGAACTTTGATAAGAGTGGGCTTAGCAAGGATCCTCCCAGTCTATCAGATACCCAGAGTTATCTATGGTGATGGCCTGTCCTGGGGACAAGCCTTTATTTAAATTTATTTTAGGCAGTTAGGGGGGAAAGGTCAAATGTTCTTCCTGAGTCTGAGCCTTTGTTGTCTTCAAATCGAAATAATCCACATACCAGAGTGGGGAATCTTGGGGCAACCTACCCTGAATCCCATCAAAGTCTTTATGAAAATATCAAATGCAATGGAAATGCCAAGGTGCTAGTTACAGCTTTGTCCTAGGAGTGGAAGTCACTGACATCAATTTCAAAAGGTTGTCAAAGGTAAATGAACAGATAATATTATACTGAGTGTCAATATCTAGACTATTTACTTCTCAGTAAGAATTGATGTCTTGGGTCTGACTCCGTGATTTATTAGCTTAGTAATCTTGAAAATGCCAATAATATCAGATCATGTACTATGTGCCAAACACTATGCTTAATGAGCACTTTGCACACTTTACCTCATTTACTCCTTACAACAATCAGGTGAGTACGACTTCTTGTCCTCCTTTATAGAGAAGGAAGCTATAGCTCAATGAGATTAGGTTATTTGACCTCCCTGAATAACTAGAACTCTGGCACTAGAACTTAATAACCAGGGTCTCTGGAAGAACCAGAACTCAAACCAGGTTCTCAATACCAAGCTTAGCTCTCCATGTGTCAATTTCCACTTCTTGACACAGATGTAACCCTGCCAACTTTACACATCGGTTAGGAAAATCAAATAAAAAAATAGCATGTGTAAAATATTTCTGTAAACTGTAGTGCATTTTAGCAAATATATGAGATTTAAGATGAGGTAAGCTCTGTGTGTTTTATTCTATAAGATGGGCATTGGTTGGATGCTTAGAAATCTGAATGTCCTGCTGAGGCCTGAAGATATGCTTTTTCTTTAGCATCTTTGCATACTTTTCTGTTTTTCATTGTTTAATCTGTGTTTCCTTTCCTGGGTCCTCTCTGAGGTGATCTGCTTGAGATAACATGTTTTTGTCTGCTACTCAGTCTGTTATTTCAGAGCTGTCATTGATCAGCTGGCAACTTTTTACATGTCTTGAGATGATGCAATTTGAGATTAAGGTCTGTGCCAGCAGCTAAGAAATGTACTTCAAAATGTCGTCATAGATACAAAGTCCCAGTTAAGGTCACATCCTGTTTGGTGTGTGAGGGAGAACATCTTTTTCTCATTTTTGACTGTGCTTAAAACAGAAAACAATTTAGAAAAATTGGGAATTACTCATACAATTCATAACCAAAGAACTCCATATTCTTATTGAAAATATGCAAATGAAAAGATTCATTTAGATGAAGCAGAAAATTGATACAAAGAGTTAACAGATAATACTTTCCTTTTCAGATTTAGACATACAAGTGACATCCCTGAGCATTTCAGGCATGTTATTGACTGATTGGGAGAGTCTGTAGAAACATACAAATATTCTAATGTGTATTTTGTCCAGTCAAGGATATAAAAATTCAGTAGCACACGTGGATGTGGCCTATTTGATCCTATCTTTCACATGGCATGTGGGTCCCTAGTGGAGGCTTAGATGTTGATCGCACTTCTTGCAGGGTAAGATCATGTTGGACTTGAGAAAAACCCAGTTTGTGACGAGTTATATAGCCATTAAGGAATAACTTAAATTAGCTGTATGCTACTTCCATTTAAGGGGATATTGACACATTCTAGACTCTTCTAGTTCTTCAGTTGTGATCAGCTAAGCAAGGCCAAATCCTCATCCAGGAAAGAAAACAGTTAGAATCCGGATCTCCCTGGACAAAATTTCTGCCTACATATTTTCTCTACTCCAAGAAGCCTAAACACGGTCACTTATGAACTGCTCAAGTACTTTAGAAAGCCTAACAACAAGAGAGGAGCTGAAGTTTTTATTGAAAATTAGAATCTCAAGTGAATAGAACCATTTATGTGCAAAACTCTCATTGGGAATTTTATACTCTGACTCAGAGTTATATAGACCTTAAGGATCAACGCAATGGAGCTTAAGGTAAGCACAGTGATGCCAAAGACAACAGTGGCCTTTGCCAAGACCCTACCCAGTTGTAATCACCAGATCTGCCAATCAATCCAGTCACTAGCAAAAGGTTAGTGTCCAACAATGGTCTCTGCACTGTGTGCAGTGTGAAGCAAAAAAGGACACAAACTCTGTCCTCAAGGTTCTTGAGATCCAGCTGAGGAGAGAAGACATGTGCACAAATGAAATGCAAGGTCGTAGCAATTAACAACAAAGTGATACAACAAATTCTACTCAAGTTGAGCCCCTCAATTTGCTCAATTAATATAAATGGCTTACATTTATTTAGGAGCTTCATGATAATCTTGGACAAACAAAAACTAAACTCAATTAGAAGAGAGCTAATGTCTCACCAAGGCATTCATGATCGCACTGGCATGATGCTTTTTGAATTGATCATTGAGGATGGGAAGGATTTGGGCAGAGGAGGAGAAGGGCTTTCCAGTGAGAGATTAGTGGAAGCAATGACAGTTTTTGAGCCCAGGCCAACAGTAAAGGAACTTAGACTGGAAGAAGACGGAATGTGATTAGGAGTCGTTAAACCTGTTTTCTCTTAAGTTTTCATATTTGACTTTTCAAAAACATTCAACTCCATATCAACTTCTCAATTTTCCTTGCAGAATAAATGTGGTACTGTCCTCACTGGAGCCTGGTCCGTACTCCATGCTGAGGTTTAGACATGGGTGTATCTGGTGAAATGGGTCTTACAGAAATCTCTGCCTGAAACCAAGGAAGCTTCAGGAGGTTCTGGGTGAGGATTTGGGTGTCTTATAGGCCTAAATTCAAATCCTGGTGCTGTCAAATCCTTGAGCAAGTTGCTTTACCTTGCTAAATCTCAGTTGTCTCATGAACAAAATGGAGATTTATTGATCTAACAAATATTTATTGAACACTTACTCTATTTCAGACTCGGGTCTAGGTGTTGGGGAGATAGCAGGGAACAAAAGAGAGGAAATTCCTTGCCTTCCTGGAGATAATGACAATATCTGCCTCAGAGGATTTAGCTGAGATCAAAAGACATAAAGCACTTAGCACGGTGCCAACACACGGCTAGTGCTCTGTGACTGTTAGTAAGTGTTGTTGAGTCAGGCAGAGACGTATGGTTCAGTAAGGAGGACTTAGTCATCAGAGGAAGAATGCAATTATTCATAATTGTTATTCATATATAGACCCCACTATGCGTTTATGCAAAATCTGAATAGAGGTGAGGATCAGGAAACTTGAGTGAAATCAGAAGCAACTAACTCACCAGGAAACTTCAGAAGACACTGGCTTCTTGGTTGGAGGCCATGTGGCAAAGTTGACTACAAAAAAGGGGAGAGTCAATCCTTCTGCCTCTGCCTGAAACAGCATGGCTTTATCACCTTAGGGGCTGTGGTGGATAGTGTGGTGGATTGTTAGGCAGCAAGAATGATAATGAAGGTAGCAGGCAGCATGTGGTAATGCTCAGAGGAAGCAAACAGTGGAACATATGGAAACAGCTGTGGTGCCCAGAAGATGCAGAGATAGGACATTCACTAGGGAGGAACCAGAACAAGTAGAGAAAACATAGTGTTCTTTTTGTGGTAACTGACCAAACTTGTTCGCTATTCACCTCCGGGACTTGTGGGAACCCACAGGAAGGAGGAGCTCTCTCCAGAAGTAGAAGCCCTGCAAAACAGGTAAAGGAAAGAGTCAGAGAACGATGCTTGTCTTGATTCCTGCATGACGCTACTAAAGCCTTGGTGGTGTATGCCATCTTCATACACAGTTGTATGACAAATAGCACAAATGGTGGAACAGTGCTATACTGGCTATCCTGCTTATAAATAAATGCTGAGAAGAGATCTTCATCAGAAGAAATGGCATGTTCTACAGTAAAAATTACCAAAGGCATTCATATGGGTGTGTTTGGAGCAACAGTATAAAAAATGAACAAGAAAAATGATCAAATGAGTATAGAGGTCAATGTCTGCCCCTAAATGAATATCTAGTAAATAGTAAATGTACAAAATGAATGAGATCAATTGTGGAGAAAAATCAATATGGCTGTGTGTGAGAACATTAACTTTAATGGTTCTCATTTTTATGTATAAATTCTACTTTAAAAAAGAGCAATAAAACAACTTAGGCTGGCTGGCCCTTTGCTATTTTTCTTACATGGTGGCTGTATTTCTGTGGCTCAACCTAATTCCTAGGCATCCAAAACCAGAGGAACAACAGTTTCACCTCAGGATTCCAAATAACCAGTTTGACTTCTTTTTATGGTGAACTGACTGTTTTGAAATCAGATTATTTACAATCCACCTTGATTTGATTGTTATGATTAAATTCATTCGTTCATCAAATATTTATCAAATTCTTTCTATGCACCCAGCAAGCACTGTTACAGGCACTGAAGACACATGGGTAAACAAAGCAGATAAAGTTTCTGCTCCCATGGAAATTATATTTTAGATGTGAGACAGACCGTAAAGAAGAAAACAAATAACAATCAAGATGACTTCACAAAGTAGTAATGCTATAAATAATACAAATAAAGTAATACACTAAACAGAGTTTATGTCTGGTAGGAGGACGCTCATGCTTATGTACTATATGAGGTAGGGATACCTGGGAAAAGTATTCTAAAAAGGTGAGCTTTTGAGATCTGATTGATGAGGAACCAGCCATGTGAAAAGTGTGGGAAGAACATTCTAGGCAGGGTGAATGGCAAG